TCACCACATCTGACAAGGCCTCCTCTCTAGTCCACATCACACGCCCTGGAAAGCAAGAATCATTATTGTTCTGCAATCGTTTATTCAATCTATTTCCCACACCCTGCTGTATGCAGTTTGTGTTGACGCTTTCCATTAATTATATTATGAGATACGTTTTTCCATCATTCTTGTGGAAAGGACAGGACTGTAGGTACATTATGAAATCTGTCCACACCGTGGTCAGATGTTGGCAGCAACCATGATGATTAAGAGGTGGGATAAACCAAAAATATTATCATGAGGCACTGCACAGCTTACAAGTCTATGCGCTTTGGGAAAAATGTCCAAGTTCTCAACACTAAACAAACACGCAGACTCCTCACTTACATTTAATTTGCCTACTGATTGACAGAAACCCACCGCAGGCAGACCACAGTATGAGTATTCATGAAGTTTTCATCCCTCTGTCTGACCTTGCTAAAACACATTCCAGAAAAAATAGGGTGTCTATTCTTCTTTTGCTCTTTTGAGTACAATGAGAAGGATTTTACTTTGGTTAGCTTTAGTAAAACTATAATTAAAAAAGTCCTGCAACATCAATAGCTCTGCTCACATTAACATCAGTACAGCCTGAAAGCACTCTTTCCTTGCTTCCTGTTTTTGCCGCTCATACCTGGCTGTTGTATGAAAGTGAGTGTGTGGTCCTCTGTTTGCACCATGGCCCTGTAGCCTACAGAGTCATCTTTTTTCAAGAATGGCTGTATGTAGATCTGAAAGAGAGAATATAATTTACTTCTATTGTAAAGCCATTACTAACACACTACGGGGCACATTTACTACTAAAGTTGGCATAAAAAAAAAAAGAAAGTACTGTCTATATTTTCAAAGAAAGCCCAGAAACCAGCATGTCTTATTTTTTCCACATCATACTGAAATGAACTGACTGCACCTGTGTTTAGAAAACTCTGCCTGCTCTGAAAGGCCATAGTTCCCACAGTACCTCAGGAAAGAAAACTGACTCACTTTCTCTGGTTTGCCACCATTAGGATCCATAACGAAAATCAGTGTTGTATCTAGAAGTCTTCGTCCAGTTTCAGCACTAAAGAGGTTAATGCTGGAGGCCTATGGGAAAGAAACAAATAATAATCTCCCAATAAAAAACTTTATTTAAAAAAAAACAAGACACAAAAACCCCAAAACACACTTATAAGACGGTGTCCTGAAAGACATGAAAAAAAAAACAACTTACAGTAACAAGTCTAACCTTTACATTAAGTAAATCAATATGTGTATTACACATCTGCCTTCTAAAATCAAATGCATTTATGACTAAGAAAACAGCTCAAACAGTTCAAACACATCAAAACCCACACATAAATCTAAAGGTGAAATATTACTTTAACTCACAGTTTTATTCTTGGGGGACATAACAGCAGCAATGGTCTTCTCTCCAGTGGTTGCAAAGGAAACCAGCAAGGCCTACAACAAACAGAGGATATAGCTCTGTATAATACAACAAAAGACATCATGTTTCTGTAGAAAAACAATACATTCTACAAAATGTCACAGGTTGGAAAAAAAAAAAAAAAGGATCGTATTTGGCCGTTTTTAACAGTTATTATGTTTGACATTTTCCCAGGGAATTAAAATATTTTGGCAAGGATGCCAAGCCACATTTACATTTTTGCAGATATTTACTGATGTTGGCTGATATAGCAGAACAACTGCAATACCAGGACAGGCTAATGTTTTTGAATATGAAACAAAAATATAGAGAAAAGCTTACGTACTGGCTTGAAATCCCTGAGCGTAACTATCTGACCATTGTTGAACTGGAGAAGCAGGAAGTTATCAGGGCCGAGCTGAAGGAAGAACTCAGACAGAGGCTGATGGGCTGAGTTGGGCTGGTGAGACACCAGGACCGGTTGAAAGTCTGGAGCTACTTCAAGTCCCAGTGACTGTGAGAAGACAAATAGGAGAAGACTGTAAAAGAAAAACTGTGCATTTACAAAGGAACATATGAGAACACAGAAGTGGAGAGCTGAGAAAGAGAGAGGCAGAATTTAAAACTTACCCAATCTAAAGCAGAGGACATACATGGCAATTTTGTACATTAGAAAGGTTTTTGTTAGAATCATACCTGCAGGGGGATCTGGGTCATCTGTAAATCATCCATATTTGGGTTTAAGTTGTACATGTATAGCGATGGAGTTGCAGAGTCTACACAAATCAGCACCCCCTGACCAATCACTGCACAGCTGGCCACTATGTTGGACAGCCACGGAGCTTCAACTGAGATCTGAAAACATTACAAACAAGAAACTCACAAAAATCATTCTATATACTGACCACTGGTTCAGTGTTTAAGTTAGTTTGTTCTTTAACAAATTACCTATTTTATATACATTAAATTTACAGAGCATAGGCTGATTTTTTAATACTATCATTAATAAACAGGATTACCTGCTTGATTATTTCTCCATCATCAGTGCTGTAAGCAATAATAACAATGTGGGAATGGGGAACAATTCCCAAAGCATAAACTTCACCATTTCCTCCAGAATAAACAGTCTGGTAATCCACAGTCTCACTGTGGAGAGAAACAGAAGGTGACAAACGTTTCATAATAAAACTACTGTTTTTGCAACACTGTGTAGTATTTTCTACAAAAAAAAGCCTTTAAGGTGGTAAATGAATTCCTGTGTAGATTTATGTTCATTGAAACAGAGAACATCAGTACACAAAATTAACATTAATATAAAAACATACCTATCTGGTAGATTTTCTATCCATTTTTGATGGCCATTAGAAAGGTAATGGAGAGAGATAATGTTTTTTTTCAAAACAGCCACATGTTTCACTGTGCCTTGCTGTCCCACTAGACATGCTTTCTGGAAACTTGAACATATAAAAAGCAACGAGGTAAGATTTAATCAAATAAATGAATAAATAAAGACCATTCTTAACCTCAAGGTAATAATCACCTTCCAGAGTCGAGCACAATTTCCCAGTTCAAACCACCAACATTGACATCCCAGGATCGCAGCAGGCGGCCATTGCCAACCACTAGGATCGCATCTAGGACACAAACACAGTTTCATCAACTGGAGGAACTTTAAAAAAATCTTTAAACTTTACTGCAATTCAAATACATGATTAGAATCATTACAAAAAAATAAATCACCTTGTCCATGGTGCAAAAGAGCATCAATGTTTCCTTCGGGTCCAGACTTATCAACATGTCGCCAGACTGTAACAGACATTGATAACAAAGTGACAATAAAAGACTATACCTAATATATGAGAACTTCGTCTTTCAAAGGAACAACATACTCACAGAGTTCCCCGGTCCTTGTATTGAGTGCGGCAAAAACATTATTCTCTGTTGCTACAAGAACCTTTTTGGATGACTGTACATGTGTGTCAAAATGAGAAAAACGAACCTTGCCTACATACTGCTGCCTCCTGTGAAACATGAAGAGAAAGCACAAGCACTCAGACTGTCATCCAGCTCACCCATGATCATAGTGACACCATTGTTTTAATGACCACATGGATCCAATCCCGGTGCAAAGACATATTTCTCAAACTGAAAAGCCGAAACTACATGACACTGGTTTATTGATTATTATCAGATTGGCTACAACGTTTTCCTATTACCTTTAAATCACTTTCTATCGCGTTTCACTTGCTGAATTTAGTGGGACCAATGATTTACTTAATGTATAAACCATGGAGATATGTACACCTCCTGAAATTAACTACCAAATTTACATTTGTTTGTTTGTATTCATTCTGATGTGTTTTGACCTGTTCTCTCATTCAAAGTCCACCGATTCGCAGTTAGCTGCTTTGACAGGTGCTAACATTAGCATTTCCACATTAAAACATAATCGGCACACATTTGATCGTTCGCTTGACTCCTCTTACCAATCAAATTTTCCTACTTGGTCCTCAAACACAGCATCGACAGCATTGTATAATATGATACACTTAAGCCAAAGCAAAATTAGCTTTGCCATTGCTGCAGCAGCTCTGACTTGCTCTTCAACGGAAGGAGGAAGTCGGAAGCCGAACGACTTCCTTTTTGTTCTGCGATGGAGAAGTGCTGCCCCCTAAAGGTTGTAAAGGTTACAGCGTCGGTCCTGGTAGTGACCTTTCAGATTAACAAATATTCATGGATTGAACCAAATCCTAAACTGAAAGAAAAAAAAGAAAGCAGATCACTATTGAAAAAAATAGTGTAAGACCGAGATTAATTCATGTGTGGGAAAATGTGTGATGGGATCATGTGACAGAAACACAAATGATAAAATTTAAAAATAATGGTACCACAGGGGATAATAACAGGATTCAGGTGGAAGACAGAGGCTGCACCCCGACACGTTAAAAAAGCGAAAATAAAAACCAATTAAATAAAGAAAAACGAAGAAGATTTGTGTATTTAATATATTTTATCTATTTAGCAGTGCATTCTAGGCCTTGTGTGGTGCAGTCAGATATGATAAAATATTTATTTTATTTTATTGATTATATGAATTAACTCTTTTTTTTAAACTTTTTTTACTCTTTTTTTTTTACTTACTTGATGATCTTGGATAAAGTCCTGTTGGCTTTTTTGGAATCAAAAGGTGTCGTATTACTATATCTATCTATCGTTATACAAGAATATTAACATATGTGGATGAAAGTCACATAAAGTCAAAAACTTGATTATTGGTTTGTTGATGAAGTTAATATTAAAACAATAAAAAGATAAGTTAAACGCGGTAAAACAAAACAAAACAAAACAAAACAACCAATATGTAAGTTTTACTACTTGTATATGTAATTATATCACAAATGAATGAAGGGAAAAACATCGCTTTATTCGTTCCTGTAAAATGGGAACTATATTATTATACATAATTTAAAATGGGTTTAGAAACAGTAAACCAGTAAACATTTCGAGTGAAATGTTGGCAGGGCTGGTATCAGAGTGAGAGCGCCCCCAAGATTTACTTACACTACAGTTTCTTCTTCCAGTAACTAGTTTTTTCTGTTAGGATTTCAAGATGGCGTCGAGCGGAGGAGATGGGGAACACGAATGGACAGCGGCAGTTCGGCCGCTTTTATCAGCTTCGTACACTGCTTTTGAGACGAAGGAGCTACCTCAGCTTATTGGGTCTATAATCAACAGGTAACCGGTTAATTGTCAATAAATTGCAGGTTCATATTTGCTTGAATACTGCCTGTGTCCACCTAGGCGTAGGCTAGCTAGCTAAATTGCTAACCCTAGCTTGGTTAGTATAGTTGGATGGGAAACGATACCCATTTTGCTAACGTTAGCGGCTAGCAAGCTATTTAAGCTTAACTTGCACTGGCATGGAGTCAGCTCCAGACGTTAGCTGATATGCTAATGACAGCTAACTTACTCAAAATGCTATTTAGCGTTTCCTTTCTGCTGACTACAGAGTTTGAAACAACGCACGTCTTATGACTGATGGACATTTATCTTTAACGTAATGTCAGCGCTGTGCAAACGTTAAACGGTGTCGCAGTGTAAGCTTTAACAAAATTGCTTCATCATTAGCTAGCTAACACAAACATTAGCCGACAGGCTAACTCGGGGGGCCTTCCAACTGGACTGGCTAACCCTCAAACGCCCCAGCCAGAGTAATATTTGACTACGTCAGCTGACTTAATTGGGCTAAATTCAGCAACACTTGCATTATGAGGCGTAATCTGGGCATGTCATTAGCCAAATCACGCATTATATGGGTGGCAAAAATAGCCAGTCTGCCTAACGTCATCTGCTTGTGGTTAGGCTGGAAGTAGGCGGGGGACCTTATCTCTCCACTTATTTTTGATCAGGTGATGGTGGGTTACCGTCAACTTGTTGTTAGTAAAATTATTTAGGGTTATTGCTTCTAAGACTTGTACTTTAGGTAATGCTGAATGGTTCTGCTTAACCACAAAGATGCTGGTGCAGAATGAACTTGTTATCTCGTTACAACATTCCCACCTATTTATGTTCTCATAAAAGTAGGAATATGTGATATTAGTGCTTTGCAAGTATTGTTGAATGATTTATTTGATTCCGTAGTTTTCCCTTGATTCTCTGTTTGTGGCGTAACATAAGCTAGTACACTGAAATAAAAAGCTTCCTAGTATGTCTGTTGGTTTCGTTTTCCAGTGCAACAGGCTGTATGCAAACATAACTATTACGAGGATTGAAAGTAGTGTTGTGTAGTTGAATTATCCTATTGTGCAGTTTACTATAATAAAAAAAATTAAAATAAAATAAGACTCCATTATCTATGTAAGTATTGGATAAAATGTTTCTTTCTTTCAGTTATGTAATTCTAACAAGCCTGCTTATTAGAGGCCCCAGGTGCTTATGTAAAAGTACTTAAAAAATTCCAACCACACCAAAAGCCAGTTCCAATACCAACAGCATAAACACACCTTGTTTCCTTACATCTCAAGTCCTAAAGAAGTATTTCATTCTGTGAAGACAACATTGAAGAAGTAGGCTTGAATTGCTAAAGCTTAAATGGCATACCACGAGTTTGACCACACTGAGTTTGGTAAAGCTGGGTGATAGGTTTATAAATTTTGTGTTCTCACTGTAGCCACACTCTAGCACAGATACCAGAATGGCCATGCTATTGCAACTTGTCAATAGCATGTTAGCAATAGCATTCATTTTACTATTTTAATGCTTTTTTGTGAAGGTCATGATTGTTTTTTGTGAAGGTTCAATTAATTATTGATAAGATTGACTATTTGTTGCATATATATTGCAATTGATTGTGGTTTGATATATGAAATTTATCTTTTTTTTAAAAAAATTTTTTTTAACTGAGACAAACTAATGCTCCTGGGAGATGTATCAGAATTGTTAATTAGTTAAGTCACTGAGGTGGTGTATACTGAAGAACAGTAATTATTTTGATGCTAACTTTTAACCAGATTATAAACCATTTAATAACCATTAAACCATTTTATTCTTTTATTTTATTAAAGGGTTGTGTTGACAAAATGTGTAAGAAATGTTAATGGATGGATGATAATGAATTATAATTATAAGAAGTCTGTTTTAAAAAGTTGAATTAATTTTTAAGACTGAATTCTTGCACAAACACATTGGACAAACTGTAGGTAAGCAAAGTTTACATAATTGCAGTGTCTCAGAGTAGGGCTGAACGATTATGGGAAAGAATCTAATTGCGATTTTTTTGCCCCAATATTGCGATTGCGATGCGATATGCGATTATTTTTTAAGGTCTTTGTCTTCTGTATTATTAAACAAAGACAAGCAATACATCATATAGTATGGCCAATACTATATTACATTAATTTTAAACTGTTCTTTCCTGGAAGACAGACCTCTGTTATGATGACATGAGGTGATGCATGAATTGATGACTGACATTTTTATTTAACTTCTTCAATCACAACAATCACAATAATTTTAAAACTTAGTAGCGGCCGCCATTGTTGGAAACTGGAGTTTGGCTGGGCCGCGCTATGAATTCTGGGATATGGTAGTAATTTGGACAGCCTTCGGCGCGTCGCTGTGACATAATCGGTCTACAAATGCGGCCTCAGGAGGATGCAGCCCATGAATTTGGACATGTCCAGAGTATAATTGCAGCCTTTGCGGTTAGAAAATTGCACTTGATCATGTCGCGATATTATCGCAAATGCGATATATCGTTCAGCCCTACCTCAGAGGAATCAATTTCACAATTCACAATGTAATGTCACCATAGCAACAGATGGAGCTGATTCTGTCTATATTTTAAAAGTAAGGCTGCAGTCAGCAGCTGTTTTCTTTATTGTTACTTGGACATTTAGTATGGCAGTTGATTTGATGTACATCATGAGAGGTTGCCATCTGTTTAATGTGACACAGCAGAACATGAGATTGTCCCGTGAACACTTTAACTCCCATCTTTGCACCTCTTACTCTTATTTGCGTGGAAGAATTAAGACACCAGTTGAGGAAAGGAGGAGGAGTTAGATCAAATCCACTCTGTGTCACTGTCCTATCTGTATTCTCTACCCCCTCCCCCCAAACAAACTAAAACAACCCACTATAAATGGTGTGTAAAAAGTCATATTTCCTTTGTTTGCAGTGAATCAGACATTCTTCACCACGACAAGCAGTATGAACCTTTCTACTCATCATTCGTGGCACTCTCAGCACATTACATCACCACAGTATGTGGACAAAGTATGTGTATTTCATTTTCTCCTAAGAGTAATAGACAAATTACTGCCACTCACTGACAATGAGCCAGAATCTTTCAGTGAAAACTGTTTTGTTGCTAGATGTTATTTTTGTTCTTTTCTTTGTTTCCCCAGTACCAAGAAATCAATTGCTGTCAGTTGCTGCAGCGTGCAAAGTATTGATCGAATTCTCATTGCTGCGCTTGGAGAACCCTGATGAGGCATGTGCAGTTTCACAGGTAAGTGAGACAGTCAGCAGGGTGGGTGTAGTCAATTGTAATACATTAGTGTAGTCATTTCTAGTTATCACTGATTTGCATTTTCTTGTGGTTTTCTGCTTTCTATTTGTATGGAATTATGTATTGAAATAAAAAAAAAAAATTGTTTTTCTTTAGAAACACCTGATCCTTTTAATAAAGGGACTGTGCACTGGCTGCAGCAGACTAGATCGCACAGAAATCATTACTTTCACTGCAATGATGAAATCTGCCAAGTTGCCTCAAACCGTCAAGACACTTTCAGATGGTAAGACTCCATAAAGGACAAAACTGAAAAATGCTTCACTGTTCTGGTAGACAACATGATTAAGTTATATGGCCCAAACTGGAAATTCACTGCATTCACTGGAAGGATTTGGACATTTTTGGTCTATTAGTTTTCTATATACTATAATTATTCAATGAAGCTGTGAGTATTTATCTGCCTGGGCTGTCACAGAGGCCCTTTTGATTAACAGCCTTGACATGTGGTGAAACTCTTGTGCCATTTTTTTTCATTTAATAGTGGAAGATCAGAAGGAGTTACCCAGTGCTGTGAACCCAGAGCTTCGACAAAAAGAAGTACAAATGAACTTCTTTAATCAGCTGACATCAGTTTTTAACCCTGACCTTACCACCATCTTGGCCTCTCCATCAGCAGCACACATGCAGGCAAGTATTAATGACCCAGCTACTCTCGATTGCTATTAGCAGAAGTTACGCAGCTTCTGCTTTTGTTCCCCTTTCCTTTTAAATTAATTTTGTTAGCTGCATTTAAAATAATATTCTGTCACTGTATTGTTGAAAATTATCTGTTGTAATCATTGCATCTCTTGTTAATTACAGGCTGAAAGTGATTGCGATGAACAAAATACAGATCAAGCTGTTCAGACCAAAATGAAAAATGCCTTTGTGTCCCAGAATGTGTCAAGCTTACAGGAACTAGGTAAGTAGTTGTTCCAAGAGACTGGACCTTTGACACTACTATATACAGGTCAGGGTTTAAAAGTTTTATCGCAGCTGTTGAAAGATGGGAGACTAGAAATCTTGGGTTGTTTTTTTTTTTTTTGTTTTTTTTGTTTTTTTGTTTTTTTTGGAAAAATATCTGTTTAGTAAATGTCACCATTAAGTCACACTATGATGAATATACTTCAGTAATTGATTTTCCATACAGGAGTGTATATATACACTGTGAGTGGCTGTAATCCAGAATTGAGTTTGTTTTTTCCCCTACACATCCATGTGGAAAATGTACATTTTTTCCCTCCTATTGATTCAAAATGTCAGATGGTCCCTTGTTTACTTTTCACTCTTGAAAGCACGCTTGAGCTCTAAATTATACGTAACCTTGTAAAAGCACTTTTTCCTTTACAAATTGCAATGAAAATTTTGTTTCTTTAGTAATCCTGCCATTAATTAATTTAAAATGAAACTTAATGAGTTATTATTTGATTAAATTTTTGATTTAATGTAATTTTTCCAGGTGGGTCTGAGAAGTTGTTACGAGTGTGCCTCAACCTGCCCTACTTTCTACGCTACATCAACCGCTTCCAGGATGCTGTATCAGCCAACTCATTCTTTATCATGCCAGCCACAGTGGCTGATGCCACTGCTGTTCGCAACGGGTATTCTTTTTTTTTTTTTTTTTTTTTAAATCTACTGGGCTAATAAGAAATTGTGTTTAATTTTGGCATCTGGCCATTTCACCACTGGCCCCAACATTAAGTTGTTATCCTGTACTTAAAATACATAGATTTCACTCACTGGTGATAGATGTGACCATGGCTTTGGACACACTTTCCTTGCCTGTACTGGAGCCCTTGACACCAGGACGACTACTGGATATGACTGTGCTGGCTCTAAGCTGTCTCTATGCTGGTAGGTGGTTACATTTTTGGTTAAAATAAAACATACCATGTGATTCAGGCTGCTATAACATTCAAAAACCAAACTAAGGAAAAAAAAAACCCATCTACAATGCGTTTTTACTTGTTTAGGTGTAAGTGTGGCCACTTGCATGGCCATTCTACAGGTGGGTAGTGGCTTGCAACTTCGCTCTGCCTCCACTGGTACCAAAGAAGAGGACTATGAAAATGATGCAGCCACAATTGTCCAGAAATGTGTAAGTATTATAACTAATCACTTTTAAAAAGTCTTTAATTACTGTCTTACTAACATGTATATTTTAAAAAGATTTAAAAAGATGACATATATTTGTCTTCACAACAGCTGGAGATTTATGAAATGATCGGACAAGCCATCAGCAACTCTCGCAGAGCTGGAGGAGAGGTGAGTACCAATTTTGATTGATATATTGCGCAAATAGAAGAATAAATATATATTTATAATTGACAGTCCTAGACTGTCAGTTATAAGTTAAGTATTATGACTGATATTTTTAAAATTCTCTCTTCTCTGTTCTGCAGCATTATCAGAACTTCCAACTGCTTGGAGCCTGGTGCCTCTTAAACAGCCTGTATCTGATTCTTAACCTGAGCCCGACAGCGTTGGCAGATAAAGGAAAAGAGAAGGATCCCCTGGCTGCTTTGCGTGTCCGTGATATTGCAAGTCGCACCAAGGATGGCGCAGGGTCACCTAAACTTGGTCCTGGCAAAGGGTATTTTTAAATCTTAATAAAGACAATTTTAGTTCAGTAGGTATGCTTATGCATCAAAGGTCATTTGTGTGCATTAATGTTTTGCCTTTTTCTGTTTTGATCTTTTTTGTTTTCCCTCTCAAGACACCAAGGCTTTGGGGTTTTGTCTGTTATCCTGGCCAACCATGCAATCAAACTTTTGACTTCACTTTTCCAGGATCTGCAGGTTGAAGCTCTGCACAGAGTAAGTGAAGCAACAAAAAAACGTGGCTGCATTAAAACAAAACTGCCATTGTAGCCATACTGTACTTGCCACCGCTATCGCTGGTTTCAGATGTCACAATCGTTTGTAGGTTTAAACCCTCTACTGTAAAATTGAATTAAATACTAATATAGCTAGTTACATTCAAGCCTTCATCTCTTGTTTGAGGAACCAAAAGAATTTTTTTTTAAATTACTGTACCTCAGTTAAATCTTCATGGCTTCATATTTAGTATAAATTCCTTGTTGTTTTACAAGATTGCATGTTTATTTAAAATTAGACGCACAGATTTGAAAGTTGTTGTTTTTTTTGTTTGTTTGTTTGTTTGGGTTTGTTTTGGGTTGTTTTTTTTTGTTTGTTTTTTTAGCATTTTCATTCTTTGTTACCCTTTCAGGGTAGGAAATGAATTCAATTAATAAAAAATTCAAAAGCATCCAAGTATGCTTCAGTAATTACTGAAAGTATTTTGTGTTCCTTAAAAGCCGTTTCCCCCCTTCTGCCAAATCTAAAGGGTTGGGCAAGTGATGGACCACCGGCTGAGCTCAACATCATGGCACAGAGCACTTCCAGCCAGAGGGTTCAAAGACTCATTGACTCTGTTCCCTTGACAAATCTGCTCTTCACACTTCTCTCCACCTCCTACAAAAAGGTGCTGTCAGTTGTATTTGTAATTTGCATTTGCAGTTATGCTGTTTTATTGATTTGAACATTAATTGTGATATTGTGATACAAAAGAAACAAGCAACAGATTTTGTCTGGTTCATTTTTATCTTTGTAGTTTATCCTTTTTTATCCCTTACAAAATTAGTGGATGTCTAGATGATTATTTATTGAAACCAGCCATTTTCAAATGTAGGTATACTGCAGCTGACTTCTCGGGTGAATCCTGGAAACTTTCTGTGTCCCAACCAAACTTTTAAACGTTGACTTTGATTTCATTTATCTGCTGTTAGGCTTGTGTTCTCCAGCGTCAGAGAAAGGGCTCAGTCAGCAGTGATGCCAGTGCTTCTACAGATTCAAACACCTACTATGAGGATGATTTCAGCAGTACAGAGGAGGACAGCAGCCAGGGTATTTATTTTCTTTGGATTCAAACAATTGTTTGTTACATAAAGTATGCATTTACATAGCAGCTCAGTTATGCAAATAAAGAGACATACTGCTCCCTGTGTGCTGCAGACAGTTTTTTCTTAAATCCTGGGTTTAGGAATGCAGATGATACTCTCAACAATTCAGACATTGTTATGCTACTCCTGGATTGATTAATAAAAAAGCAACAACTTAAAAAATACAGACAATCCACTGAAAAACAGGGGATTACATTAGCATGACCATATGTATCTATATTGTAATTATGAAGCACTCTACTTTTGCAATTAATATATACAAAAATGCAATTTATTAAAATATATTGATAATTTAGGGTCAAACTTTCTTGCATTTATGGACAATTAAAAACAAAGATGTTGTCATCTAGCTTTAAAGGTAAAGGGGGAGACACATGAACTCACCATTTAAGGACTCAATTCTGTTTTAACATAGTGACCAAGAAGTGTTGTTTCATTCCTACAAGGTATGCTTCAGGTTTCTCTGCATCACAGTGGGGATTCAATTGGTGAAAGTAAAGTCACATATATTTTTACACATTTCCATTTGATCTGAGTTTCTGTCAGTGCTGAGCTGGATAAGATAACAAATGCAGTATTTTCAGTATTTGGGAACATTTTTAAATTGGTATAATTGAAGGAGTGAAACAAGTGTGCTGTCAGTGGTTAAGTCAGTGAGGTAATGACAGCAGTGCGAAGGGTAAACTCATACATACGCTCACAGTGATGTGATTTAAAAAAATTTTGTCCATCACAATAATACCAGTGTAGTTGACAGTGTCTACTATTTCAGCAGAGAGAAGACAGGAGAAGACAAGTGCAGCTTGTGTCTCAGGTTAGCAGTTTTCTGTCCTCAGGTCAAAGACTTGGTGTCCGCTGTCCTAAATTCATTTTTGTTATTGTATGTCTCACAATTTAGACTCTGAGCCTTGATCCTAACGGCCTAGAAAATGATAAAGCCACAGATGAAGTCTTTGACAAAATACTCCCTGTTATCAGAGTTGCTCTGCCTTATAATTCATATGAACTAAATTAAACTTGTTTTATCAAAGAGGTTCATCTGTGGCTTGTTGTTTTAAAGAATAATACCAGTGGTGTTGATATGTGGGATATTATTTAAACTATTAACTACTGAAGCTTTCATTAAAACTAGTTAATTATCTGAATACTTACACTAACAGTTACTGACAGAAGTCATAAAACATTTCTCAGTGATTTATTTTAAGAGCTTTACCTCTATTACTTTATCATCCTTTTGTCTTCCAGTTTCTGCCTCTTTCCTTTTTCAACAGCGACTCCAAAGAAAGAAGTTTGTTATAAGATAGCTGCTAATAGTAATGCTTTAAAAGTATAACATTTATTGCTGGCCTAATGACTTTTCAGGTCGTGGTTGAAATTAAAATTAAACAATTTTCAGTATGGTAGAAAATTATTTTTGAAATTGGCTGTGATACTACAAAATGATAAAATCCATTTTACCCCCGACTCTTGAATCTATTTTAACACAAATGAGGATAAAATTGTTAGAAAACTTATTTTTTTTAAAAAAGAAAAAAAAAAAGTGAAAAACTCTTGATGCAAAAATAATCAAGACCCACATCAAAGCAGTGGTATCATTCTTAAATACAATAAATTCAAGTTGTGCTTAATGAGCTTAAACACGCAATGCTACATCTTGCTGTCACCTGAAAAGTTAATTTTTGTATGTTGCATGCAGATGTGAATATCAAATTATTGTGATATTCTTTTGAAACACTAAAGTTGTCTTGTTTTTGTATTTGAAAACTTTCAGTGTAGTTGAGTGATATCACCTTTTTAAAGAATATGAATGTTTTGTGCATGGTAAGTGCACAGAGCACAATGAATCAATGAAATTTGTGGCTATAAATTTAAAAACATTATGGGGAAGGATCCAGAGCTAATATAGATGGTACACCCATGTAAACTAAACCAGGCAGTACCATCTCTCTAGATTGGTGCTATTAATTTGTCTCCTAGCTAGAGCTGGTTGGTGTCAGACACCTATTAGTGTTCACTGAAACCAGCCAGGTCAATGCTGCTCTGTTAGGGTTTTTTTTTTTTTCCTCCATAGCTAAGCAGATGAGTTTTACAAAGATGAATGCGTCTTATTCTATTCATGAACTAATTTTTTCCTCCAAGGCAGGGTCTAGGAGAGACTGGTCAAATTTGTAATTTGTTTTGTTAACTTAAACGCACATTCTCCAAAAAGTTGATTCTGTTCATCTGGACCTAGCGTTTTGTGGGAGAAACGTTTCGTCACTCATCCAAGTGACTTCTTCAGTCTCAGCTGACTGCAGGTTTCCCCAATCTTATAAACAGTACATTTGCATAATGACTGAAACCAGCCCACTGAAGGAAGGAACTGCTGGGAGGTCAGTTCCTTAATCTTAATTATGCAAATTCTCATAACCATTGATCAACAACCACTGACCAAAACCCACTGATCAAAGACCACTGATTAATGGCCATGAGTACCATTCACAGACAGTTGGGGAATGTCTGCAATCACAGCATTGTAAGATGTACCCTTAGGCCCCCTCCTCGATTCAGAGATGGTCTTTCCCTTTTCACGTAAATGGCCTCCTTGACTCCACTCTCAAACCAGCATTCCTCCCTGTCCAGGATGTGTACATCCTCATCATGGAAAGAGTGTCCACTGGCCTATAGGTGTAAATAGACTGCAGAGTCCTGGCCTGACGAGGTAGCTCTTCTGTGTTGTGCCATCCGCTTCGCCAGAGGTTGTTTGGTTTCCCCGATGTATAAATCCTGGCAATCCTCCTGGCACTTAACAGCGTACACTATGTTACTCTGTTTGTGTTGGGGGACCCGATCCTTGGGCTGGACCAGTTTTTGGCGCAGCGTGTTTTGGGGTTTGAAAGCCACAGAGACCCGGTGTTTAGAAAAAATGCGTCTCAACTGCTCCGATACTGCTGACACATATGAGATCACTACAGGTTTTCGCTTGGGCAGCGGTTGTCCTTCTCTCCTGGATCGACTGGAGCTTTCTTTAGGTGCCTTTCCAGCTTTGACAAACGTCCAGCTGGGATAACCACATTTACTCAGGGCCTTTTTGATGTGATGTTCTTCTGCCTCCCTGGCCGCTGTGTCTGTGGGGATGGTGTTCGCTCTGTGTTGTAGCGTCCTAATGACACCCAGTTTGTGCTCCAGTGGATGATGAGAGTCAAACCTTAAATACTGATCCGTATGTGTAGGTTTACGGTAAACGTCAGCTTTTAGATGTCCCCCATTACTGATGGAAATCTCACAGTCTAAGAAGGCTAACCTGCCACTCTTCATATCCTCCCTGGTGAATTTGATGTGTCGGTCCACCGAGTTAATGTGATCCGTGAAATGTGGTACGTCCTGAGATTTGATTTTCACCCAGTTGTCATCCACATATCTGAACCAATGGCTTGGTGATGTTCCAGGGTAGGCTAGCAAAGCCCTCTTTTCCACTTCTTCCATGTACAAATTGGCCATGATGGGTGAAACTGGGGAGCCCATGGCACTCCCATGTTTCTGCCTGTAGAACTGACCCTTGTATGTGAAGTAGGTGGAATGAAGACACAGTTCCAAAAGCAAACACACTTGGTCGATGCTGAGATCCTGGCCCTGAGGTTGGAGTCATCCAGTAATCTCTTACGGACTACCTCCAATGCTTCCGTGACTGGGATGCAAGTGAAGAGAGATGTAACGTCGCAGGGCGTGGCTCAAGAGTTGGGAGTTCGCCTTGTAATCGGAAGGTTGCTGGTTCGAGCCCCGGCTTGGACAGTCTCGGCCGTTGTGTCCTTGGGCAAGACACTTCACCCGTTGCCTACTGGTGGTGGTCAGAGGGCCCGGTGGCGCCAGTGTCCGGCAGCCTCGCCTCTGTCAGTGCGCCCCAGGGTGGCTGTGGCTACAATGTAGCTTACCATCACCAGTGTGTGAATGGGTGGATGACTGGATGTGTAAAGCGCTTTGGGGTCCTTAGGGACTAGTAAAGCGCTATACAAATACAGGCCATTTACCATGGTTTCATCTGCCTCCATAATGACATCTCTCACCTTCTCAACAAAATCCAGGGTGTTCTGGATGTGGTGTTCAGAACTGCCCACCAGCGGGTTGAGGATCGAAGCCAGAAACTTGGAGATGTTATAGGTGACCGAGTTGATCATGCAGACAATCTGTCCTAAAGGTGCACCCTGTTTATGTATTCTGAAGAAGTCACTTGGATGAGTGACGAAACGTTTCTCCCACAAAACGCTACGTCCAGATGAACAGAATCAACTTTTTGGAGATTTACTTCCCTGGATGATTGAGAATGCATCAAGACGTTAAACGCACATTGACAAAGTGGAATGAAAACCCAGTGGGGACTATTATGAGCAATGCCGTGCCTATTCTGAACCTGAGTGGAACCTTGTGACATCTGTTAGTTGTGGTTTGTCCTTGACAAGCATGCTGTATCAATAAATAAGAGCCACGAACTTGACAGCAGTGCACTTAAAAAAAGAAGAGTGATTGCATTTGTCATCAACAGATCACATCTGCTTACATATCCTACAAGGAATAACATAGCTGTCACCTGAGTTAAATCAGATGGCGAGTAAGGAAGCCATAGAGACTCTAACTTTCTTGTGAAACTATTATCAATAGGTCTTAAAAACCTGCTTTCAAAGAAATTACTCCTGTATCGTACTGCAGGCTGAGCACACAGAATCAAAATGCCTGTGAAACAATTTTTCAGTGTAGAAAATGTCATGGCTCAGCAGGTGAGGGAAGCAGTTGAGCTTGAGTTGGCGACCTATTAGAAACACAAGATTTAAATGAGTTTTTTCCCCTCATATTTAAATTCAATGTTTGTTATATAGGTGCTTTTTTTTTTCTAAATTCTTACTGTGAATTTTTATTTGGTAGAATATGAATTTTTCAAGCTATCACTGTAAATTAATGTACAGTATTATGTAGTTCTAGGTTGTGTGACAGTCAGTCTTATATTTTTGCACCAAAACATTTAAAGAGAAGTGTGCACATTTTATATTTTATCATATTTTTGACCGACTGACATGTTGATTGTAGCAGTGTTTTCTGCAGAAGGTGTAATAATGCATCCTCACGCTCTGTTCAGCACATTCAGATTCTAAGCAATCTGAGAATAACGTGTGCTTTATGTTCAGCTAATTCTAGCATTGTTTCTTATTTTTGCTAGAAACACACAAGAATGTATAAAATGTAAAAATTCTAATGCAGCACAACTTGGAGCTCATAATAATATAAGTTAATTTAGGAATGATTGTGGCTTTCCTCTCCACCATCTATGGTAGCTGACAAACTGCAGCATGTCTTTTGTTACTAGCAGATTTACTTCCACTTTGGATTGCACTTGTCTTATACAAAGATAAAAATATAAATCAATACAAATTAATATGTTCATGTATTCTCAGTGACAGCAATGAAAAGTGCATGTCTTTGAAGATAAATTGTGTAACATCCTTATGTAGATATTCATCAAGAGGGAACTGGTTATTGTTTGCTTCTTACTGCAGTCTTTGGATCTTGTTCACCACCTTCACTGTGTTGTACACTCACTGGCCACTTTATTAGTTACGTCTTGCTAGTAATAAGTTGAAAATTTCCTCATTGTTTGTGACATGGAAACAGCAACTTGCTAAAAATTTTAGTCCATATTGACATGGCATCATATAATTCCACATAACTTTTTCATGCCTGGCTACACGTTTTACTGCTTCTTTGCAGGGTAGTAATGTTTTGTTTGTTTGTTTTAAAGCAACTGGCAAACAACATGACATTGTTGTCAGGCAGCATATTTTTAAGTATTTTCCAAGTACACAGGGGCTCATAGTGTGGTTAAAAGAAGGCCATTATACCACCACAAAAGGACCAAATGGTCAATAAATACACTGCGAGCACACTAGCAAATTGGCCATGGGGAGAGGATGGTGTTACTCAAGTTAACCTAAAGCAGTCAACCTCGGGGTAATACTGAAATGCGTTTTAAGTTCTACCGTGTGAGCGGTTGAAGTTTTGTTTTTGTTTTTTTTAAACAAATGGTAACTGATGGCCAGTGTCCAGTGAGTGTAGTTGCCATGAACTATTGTGAAGCTTTGTTTTCCCTTTATTGGTGACACCACTGCTACATCACAAATACTTTCATGAATGTGTGAGCATTTTACCTCAAGATGTTTATGTAAATAATTAACTATTCTTTACAGATGATGACAGTGAACCTATCCTGGGGCTTTGGTTTGAAGAGACAATTTCACCAAGCAAGGACAAAGTGGCTCCTCCACCCCCTCCCCCTCCACCACCTTTGGAGACTTCTCCCAGACTGAAGAGCCCCAGCAAGCAAAATCCAAGCGAGAACGGCAACATTTTAGCTGGCCGTAAAGATCCCGAACTGGTGAAGACAACATATAGATTGTTGCTGTTACAATGCATATAATACTTCTTCTTTTTTTTCTTTTTTAATAGGGCTTATGACATTGTATCATCTCAAATCTTTGTTTCTGCAGTTCCTCAGCTTAGCATCCAGTATTCTGAATTTCATCACCACCTCGATGCTAAAATCCAGGAACAACTTTATCCGTAACTACCTGAGTGTGTCTCTCACAGAACAACACATGGCTACGCTTGCCAGTATCATCAAAGATGTGGACAAGGATATCAAAGGTATGCTTAACAAAAAAACCCCAAAACAAACAAAAAAAATTGCAGCTATTCAAATATAAGAATATTTACCTAAATTCATAATAATTTGCTTTGCAGCCCTGCAGACTTGAGTATTTTGACAACAGTGAACATCTATAGTTATGCGTTGTTGTTTCTTTTACCCCACAGGGTCTTCAGATGAAGTCTTTTCTTTAGCACTGTATCACTTCAACCACACCCTAGTGACCTCAGATCTTCCCTCCCCAGCATTGCAGGTAAGAGGTTTTGCTTTGCTTTCGTTTCTTTGCCACTATATGAAAAAAATCTTTTAACAACTACTTTCTACAACAAACTTAAAATTGATTTTTTTTTTATTATCTCAATTCTCATATTGTTTCTCTTAACTATTTGCAGAGCACCCTTTTACAGCAATTAGGTGTTGCACCCTTTTCGGAGGGTCCATGGCCTCTGTACATTCACCCTCAATCATTATCAGTGCTCTCCAGACTTCTCCTCATATGGCAGCACAAAGCTACTCTGCAGGGAGAACCGGATGTTCCTGAGTGTATGAAAGTTTGGGAAAGGTAGAAAAATTCAGTTTTTCTTATCTGAATATTTATTATTATGATCAAATTGTTTAAATGCCTTGACGCTGCAATCGAACTTAGATAGTATGGTTGTTGGCATTTATGAAAAAAAATGGTGGTGGCTTGATGGGGGCGACTTGTATAAATATCCAATATTGTAGTCAATAACAATGGAATTATTGTTTGCAAAAACATCACAGTTGTAGTCTAGCTTAGTCTTCCATACATTTCTCTTTAATCTGGATTTTTTTCCCTTTTTGCTGCCTGTACTTTCTCAGATTTTTGGGAACCTTAAAGCAACACGCCATCCAGGGTTCTATTCATGGCGAAGATGACCTTAATGTGGAACACCTCCAGCTGCTGCTGCTCCTTTTCCACAATCTGTCAGAGCGTGGTCGTCGATCAGTCCTCACCTTAGTCACACAGGCTATTACAGAGGTGGCACAGAGCAGAGACTCCCAGCTGAAAGCTGTGCCCCTCAATTTGGCCCGCCTGTTGCTGGTTTTTGACTACCTGCTGCGCCACTACTCCAAGGCTCCTTTATATCTTTTTGAACAGGTTAATACTTTCTTTCAAATTGTTATTTATATGGTAAATTGAATAATAAAGCTTTTTCTTTTTTCTTTTCTTTGTTATTTGATTTCCATTCATTAGGTAAAATATCGTCCTGCAAGTGCATTAATCTGGGTTCAGAGTAACATAAAGATGTCATTATGATAGTAATATAAGGCTAGTTTAGTATAAAACATACCAAGTCCTATACCTAGTAAATTTTTGCTAAACATTCTAATAACACAGTATTGTGTTTGGGACTCAATAACAGTGTTTACTCTGTGTGCTATAAATAGGTGCAGTACAACCTTCTTACCCCACCATCTACTGGGGCAAGTTCTGTTCAGGAAGGTGGAAAACGCAGCAACATCCCACTTTACTATGGATTCAAAGAGGTGGAGGAGAACTGGGCTAAACACTGTTCGACAGGTAAACCCAAATATTTTTTTAACTAAATTTCAGTTTAATCTGTTTGTAGTATATGAAAATTGAATTTTATCTTTGATTAAATGCAACTGTTTTAGATTCCAATGTCCAGCCCAAGTTCTACTGCGTTCTGTCTCCTGAGGTGTCTGAAGATGATATCAGCAGACTAGATAGCAAGGTGAGGCATGGACTCTGTTTTATGTGGTCTTAAATGAATTTTTGACAATACAGTTTAAATGTGTCTTAAAACATGCTTTTTATTTTATTTTTTTGTATATAAATACTAGGGGTGCAACAATACTCATATCGGTATTGAACCGTTCGATACAGTGCTTTCGGTTCAGTACGCATATGTATCGAACAATACAAATTTTTTTATTTATTTTATCAACCTTTCTTCTGACGATGCTGTCTGTGTTGAGAACTCAGTGAATCTGCGTTCGACTACTCCTCCTAGGCTGCACTGTCGAGCGCAGATCCGCTGAGCACAGCGCAAGCTAGCAAGACAGCTAAGCTCGTTGCAACATGGCAACTACCTCAACGCTAGCCGAATTTGAACCTCCCCCACCCTCATTCAGATCTGGCGTTTGGAACTAGTTTGGTTTTCATGTGAAGTATGACCCTGATGGTAAGCGCGTCATGGACAAAAGTAAAACAGTATGTCGGATGTGCCACGCAATGCTCAATTACATTGGTGGGAACTAGTGCGTGCGTTAGCTCGTTAATGTGTTGACGCCATCCAGCCCCACACACGGGGCGATCCGCGGTAACTCATTAATGGAGATTTGCCGCGTTATGGCGTTAATGTCATTTTAACGAGATTAACGCTGACAGCACTAGTGGGAACACAATGAATTTGACTGCACATTTGCGCCGACATCATCCTAGTGCAAAGACAAGTGGAAGCAGACAAAAACAACAAGCACGCATGCTACAAACTTTACCCGAGTCATTTAGACAGCCGTTAGCACATGATTCTCCTTATGGGGACCTGATATGTTTAATATGCTGCTGAGAATATAGCCCAGAAGAAGCGTATAGTATAGCTTTTATTTTGGAAAGAGCCATTTCTCTGTAATAAACTCTCATTTCCAAAGATGAGTGATTTCTTGATCAGATAGATTTCTTTTTTTTTTTATTTTTGGTTCAGCAACAGTAAATTTAAAAACTGTACTTTTGAGTTAAAATATATATTTATAATTTTAATAAATGACAAATTAAGGCATGAACATCTTTTGTATCGAAAAAACATCGAACCGTGACACCAAAGTATCGAACCGAACCGTGAATTTTGTGTATCGTTGCACCCCTAGTAAATACCAGTATTTCTGTTTTTAATCACAATATTTTATCACAATATTAAAATTATTGCCATGCCTAACTGTTAAACATGTCCTCATAGGTCTTTCCAAAGCTTTTTAATGGAGCAGTGAAATATGATGAGCTGTATATATGGCTCATCTCACTCCTGGCTGCAGGCTCTCAGTTTGACACAGCAAGAAGACAAGAGAACAAGTCCATCACTCCTATGGTGAGAGCACCAAATGAAGAAATAGAACAGCTGAAATAAGCCCACTGAGCATATGGCTTTAGTGGTTTATCTAAAAGGCATTAAACACCCACGTGCTGCAGGGCTTGTGTTTTGGTGCGTCTTTCTGGTTAACTTAGAAATTGATCTGCAAACAGAAACGTGATATAAAAACCCTTTCTATAATAATGCAGTCCTTTTTCTAATTGTTCACTGCTACTGTTGACTTCAGTGACTGGTTTAGTTGGTTCAGGTGATAGAGGAAAATGCATATTACATTTTTGAAAATAGACCAATAAGAATAAAACAGAATAAAACAAAATAAACAAGAATAAGCCACATTGGAAATGTTTATCTGCAATTCTAGAGACAAAAAAAATGATAAACACATGCTAACAATATTGGCCAAAAACAAAGTGAATATCATCACTGCAGTAAGGCAGGACCTATAATAAATGTTATTCTAAACTGCTATATTGTTGTGTAAGTAATTTGAAGAGCTAAGCTTCAGTTTCTGAAACATTAGAGACTTGTATACATAATGATACTAGCTTAATGGCAGCAAACTGTTGGGCCCCATACAGGAGGCCTGCTCCCTTCAGTACTACTTCCTGATACTGTGGAGGATCCTTGGCGTTTTACCACCTTCCAAAGGCTTCATGGAGCAGCTAAAGACTGGCTGCAGTGACCCCAGTGAGAGCGACATCCTACACACACTGCGATGGTCATCACGTCTCCGCGTAGCTACGTATGTAAACTGGATCAAGGTCAGTTGATGCTTGAAAGTCCTACAAATGTATTATCAGTGTGATGGGTTTGTTGTTGTTGGTCAAACCTTAGAATAATGTACTTGATTAATTCAGGGGGGGGGGGGGGCTGGAAATTGTTTGCTTTTTCAGAAAAATTTATATTTTGTATTATTTCTGCAATTTCAAGTTTGATGGGTGTTTTTTGTGTGTCATCACTCACAGGAACACTTGGTAAAGCAAGGAATGAAAACAGACCAAGCTGCTTCTCTGGTTGAGGTGACTGCTGCTAAATGCAGCACTGTGAAATACGATGTGGAGCTAGCAGAAGAGTACATTGCCAGACAGGTAATGGTTACGACAGATACATTAGTAACTTGTGTTGGTGGTGTTCAGAGTTTTGAAATCAATTGACACCTCCTGACAACTTTATTTTGTTGCAGATTTCCACATTCTCAAGTGTAGACCCACATGTCATCCTACCACTTCATCAGTTGCCCTCTCTACAAGCCATCTATACGCTGGATGCAGTCATCTCTAAAATTCAGGTTTCTTTAGATGAGCATTTGTCCAAGGTTGCCATTGAGGCTGACACCCACAAATCCTCTGAGATCGCAAAAAATCTGCTGCCTGCCACACTACAGCTCACTGACATTTACTCAGCTTTCACAAGGTGAGAGGGTAATGTTGTTATAAGCTCTTGTTATATCTAGTAGACTGGAATGCAATAATGTGATTGAAATGCTTGATAGATCACATGATCATGTGGCCAATCACATGGCCAGTTCTTTGGTTACAGATACTCAAAATATTGACAAAATCCAGAGGTCATAGCTTTGGTGACTTAAGTTACATTTAAATTATTACTATTATTATTATTATTATTATTATTATTTTAATTCCACCATATTCGTCAAAGCCAACATTTTGCAAAGCACATCTACTACATGCACGCTACATAATTCTAGTATCCATATATCTGTTACTTTATATATCTTTTACAGTTTATCAGTATTCTAACACCACTGGCATGTGGATATTTAAATGTTGAATTTATTTAGAATTGACTGTAATTGCTAATGTAAGCTGTTTTTAAAGTTTAGTTTTAGTGAAAGCTTTAGTAAAAAAAAAAACCAAAAAACAAAACCCCTCCGTTACCTTCAGAATGCATGTGTGCTTCAATTTAAGGAATACAACTTAAGGAACCTTAAATATTCCTTCTTTAATTTATATATCATAACATGTTTTTAAATATTTCTAAATCTTTTGATAGTTTTTCTAATTATTTGTTTAGATTTGGAATGTAGCCTACTTCATGTCTAAGAAATAAGACTTGTGGATGATGTTCTTTATGACAACTCATCCTGATCTAATCATTAAACGAAACTTGTCTTGAACAGATCTTACCTATTAATGAACATCCCAGAGGAAGGGGAGAACAAACTGACCGATGCCAAGCTCCAAGGTTATGCTGCAGTTCTGGCCATAGGTTCCACCCGATGCAAGGCCAACATACTTGGTATCCAAATGAAATACTGAAAAATAATATTTTACAATGCAGTGAATATGATTACTTTAATAGCTTTTATGCAGTGGTCTAACAAGACTTTAAATTTCTACAGGTCATAATATTATGCAGAACTTGCCAACAGCTGTGCAGACAGTTTGTGAGTCTTGGAATGGTGTCCACACCACTGAATTTCCCAACATTGGCTCATGGGTATGTGGTTAAAGTTGGAAATTATTAAAACATTTGTTACACATGGCATAATTTTAAAAAACATTGAAGACTTGGCTTTTGCCTGTATTTTCCCACACCATAAATAACAAAACTGGTGGTATCTTCTCAGCGCAATGCATTTGCAAATGATACCATTCCATCAGAGAGCTACATCAGTGCCATCCAAGCAGCTCACCTGGGCACACTGAGTTGTCAGTCCTTGCCTCTGGCGTCTTCTCTTAAACACATCCTTCTCTCACTGGTTCGCCTGATTGGAGACCTCATTGTGTAAGTTAAAAAACGTCTACTGATAAACTCTTTTGCATGCATAGTTTTTACTCACGAAAAACCTGTTATTGTCTTGTGAATAATGCTGCATTATTGTCTCTTCAGTACTGAGGAGCTGAACCCCTCACAGGTTGTGAGCACCCTGCTGCCTCTGCTCTTGGAGAGCAGCACAGAGAGTGTAGCTGAGATCAGCACCACTTCACTGGAGCGCATCCTTGGCCCATCAGAGTCTGAGGCCTTTCTAGCCCGCATCTACGAGCGTTTGGTGACCGGATGTTACAACATTATTGCCAATCACTCAGATCCCAACAGGTATTTTTAATATGTATCAGATTTCATTAACCTTTAATGAACCATGTTAAATATTAAAATTCAATCAAAAATTACTTTTTATGCTTTTTTTTTTTTTTTTTTTTTTTTGTGGGCTGCTCTTCAACATTTATCTATCCCATTTTTTTTTAATTTTTTTTTTTATTACTTAGTGGTTTGGATGAGTCCATCCTTGAGGAATGCCTTCAGTACCTTGAAAAACAACTTGAAAGCAGTCAGGTCCGAAAGGCAATGGAAGAATTCTTTTCATTCAGGTATTGTCTCTGCTGATGACACAATCTGGCTTCTCATTCATTCAGTCACCTCACATATTTTGGGTTTCTTCTTTTTCAGTGGTGAGCTTGTCCAAATTATGATGGCAACGGCCAATGAAAACCTGTCTCCAAAGTTTTGTAACAGAGTGCTGAAATTCTTCACCAAGCTTTTCCAGCTCAGTAAGTCTGTAATAATTTTAAAACTATACTGTCCAAGTTTGGTTATATTCAAGCTTTTCAAGGCAGAGCTCTTTGAGCTAAAGCTGGAGTAGATCCCTCTAAGTTTCATCATGCATTTTTCTCCAGCGGAGAAGAACCCAAACCCAAGCCTGTTAGGCCTGTGTGGCTCTTTGGCCCAGCTGGCCTGTGTGGAGCCCTCTCGTCTGCAGTCCTGGCTGACACGTATGACTGCTACCCCACCAAAGGACTCAGAACAACTGGAAATTGTGCAAGAAAACAGACAGCTTCTGCAGCTGCTAACCACTCATATTGTGCGTGACAATAGCCAGGTGGGCGAAGGAGTGTGCACTGTACTCCTCAGCACACTTATTCCCATGGCAACAGACATGCTGGCCAATGGTGATGGAACAGGTTTTCCTGAGCTCATGGTCATCATGGCCACACTTGCCAGTGCGGGACAGGGTGCAGGCCACCTCCAGCTGCACAGGGCAGCTATAGACTGGCTGACTAGATGGTAAGAAATGAATTTTACAGGCATGGAGATCTAAGTTTCAGTCGCATCACTAAAGAAATCTAAAGGGTGGAATTATATAGTTGCTACAGCCAAACCCGCTAGGAAAAAATGCTTGGTTTAAGCTCAATTTATACTTCTGCTATGAATCTATCCAGCAGCTATGACAGCAGCTACACCCAGGGTGTGGCTTTATGTACACATCTCCACATGTGTGATTGGTGTTCCTGCTGATTGCAATGTCATCTTCTTTTTGTAACTGTATTTCTTTTTAATTATTTAAGCTTAAATCTGATGTTGTTCAATTTCCATTGGTAGGAGTATTCAAATAAATTTAGCTCAGTAGCACAGAAATCTGAGCCTCAAGTAGCATTTTGGCTGTGTTATTACATGTTACAGTGAAAGCTCTCTGTAGATTCAGTGTGGGAGTATAAATCTAGGTAGAAATTTAAATGGAGAACTTGTGACCTAAAAGCTTATCTTTTGTTTTGCAGCAAAAAGTATTTAACACAGAAGAATGTCGTGGAAAAAGTGAGCACAAACTTGTCTCATGGAAAGGTGGGTTTCTCACACACTGAAGTGAATTTTGGACATTTCCACAGAATGAGATTTTAATTATGCCACACTTGTTGTAGATCTATGATCAGCCTTGTTATTTGAGAATAATATCGTCACCTCTCTAAAGGTTAAAGACCTTACGTATTCGTTGTTTTGGGAGTGTATTGCAATCTGTGGACTTTCTCTGTGGAAAAAGAAAGGATGTCCTTCTTTGTTACATTTTATATTAAGAAAATGTAAAATCTCTTCAAGGTTAAAATCAAGTGTAAATCATACTATTCTGATTTGATTATGAATTTACTACCACATAGTTGTACATCATGTCCTCTGGTTGTCTGTGTGCTTCTCATACCCCATATTGGACAATCAGAATGAATGATAATGAAACTGGCTTTAGGCAATTAAAGGAAAACACTGTAAAAGTACCAATTTGCCAAAGTATTTTTCTGTGATATATTACATTTTGAAAAATGGCCCAAAATGTGTCCCCTGCAGTTCAGATATTAACATATCTAAATATCAACTGATATGCACCTCTTCTTTGATTTCAGCATGCCAGCATGCTGGAATGCTCATGTCACATCATCTCCTATCTAGCTGATGTGATGAACGCTTTGCGTCAAAGCAGCGGTCAAGGCAACTCAGCAGTGCTGATGGAGGGAGAGGAAAAGGCCATGGAAGTAGACTCAGACTGGGTGGAGGAACTTGTAGTAGAGGAGGATGATTCCCAGGCAGAGGACTCTGTAAGAAGTTGTTCTTTTATTCTCGTCTGTCTCTGTGTGTATGGACTTACAGACATACATCAGTGCTGTTTTTGGGCTTAGCTTTTATCTCTGTCAGTTTGCTATATGAAACAATCCTTTTTAACATGTATGTCATTGTTTGACAGGATGAAGACTCACTTTGCAACAAACTTTGCACTTTTACCATCACTCAGAAGGAATTCATGAACCAGCACTGGTAAAGAAAAGTTTGTTTATTGTGATTTTGTTCTAATCTTAAGTGCAGCCTTTGGTTCCAAATACATCCGCATTACACCTAAAAATGGATTTGTCATACAGTACACGTTTGATTATTTCATTTGTTATTATTCATTTTTTACTAAGAATAAACAAAAAACAGAAACTCATATATTTAGTAGATTGCCTTTATGAATCAGAAAAGCTGATGGTGTTTCTCGAATCTGTGGAAACGGGAGGACTCCACACTGCTGAATTACGATGGAAGACAAAATTGCATACATTTGTAATGTAATTAGTGTTATGTACCTGGAAAAAGTAACAGTGTGTTAGCAACATGTAATATTTTCTATGTGAATTTTTATTTGTTTTTTGACTTGCTGTGAATATTTAAGGATACAGAGGGCAGCTATAAAAGGTTAAAAATGCCTTAATTCATCTAGAGCCTCTGTGGTGTGTAAATCTAACCGGGCAGCAACATATTTAAAGCTTGTCTGAGCTGAGTTAATCTTCTGGAAAATAATCTCCTTGGTTAGCTCTGGAATATGAGTAATTTTTAATTAATTTATCTGGGAAGATTTAGGTGGTAGCATGATCAAATAGCCTTCACTTGTGATATATCCATTTAGACATGGAGAAATACAGTGTCATTCTTTAGTTTCTCACATGATGTGATGTGCCATGCTATATATAGTATTGCCTATACTTTTCATTCTGCAGGTACCACTGTCACACCTGTAAGATGGTGGATGGGGTAGGTGTGTGCACAGTGTGCGCCAAGGTCTGTCACAAAGACCATGAGATCTCCTATGCCAAATATGGCTCTTTCTTCTGTGACTGCGGTGCCAAAGAGGATGGCAGCTGCCAGGTGAGACCGAATACCTCAGGTCATCATGGGAAGAGAACAACAGCGGTAACTTTAGCTTGCAAGTCATTCCCCCATTGACCTCCATCCAGTCATTTCATTTGATTAGGGTTATAGCTAGCCCACACATTTGGCCAGAAAATGAGCAAAATCATGTTAGGAATGTCTTTTTGTCAACTTTTTGTGTACTGAACAGGTCAGCTTCCCTAGTTAATCTTAAAGTCCGTGTAAAGAGATAATTCAAGGTTTACTTTGTATAAATATAAAAGTCTTTGAACCATCTTTTACTGAATTTTGTAGGTGTCGTATAATATTTTTTATCTGTGTGGTTTATAAAATATTTTTTATGTGACAAACATGTTTGTAACCACTTTACACGGACTTTAACAATTTTTTATTTTTTTTTATGTGCATGTGATGAGCAAGCCATCAATTACATCTTACCTTTAGTTTACGGCGTAATAAGTACGATAGGCTTTTAGCTTTTTTGTTTTGTTTTGTTAATGCGATGTTTTCCTCACTATCAGTGTTGTGATAACATTTGCTCATAACAGTTTGGTTCACTTTTTTATAAATGTTTGTTCCACTTCTGCACTTATACGTATTATCGGTTGACATTTACAATGCATAAAGGGGAGCATAAAGAATCATTTAAGTATACATTTATATTAATATCAACTTTCTCCACTTCTTACTTTGTGTGTTGCATCATTCACAGGCCCTGGTCAAACGCAGTCCCAGCAGCGGCATGGGCTCTACTCTTAAAGAGTCTTCAGCTTTCCAGAGTGAGCTGCGTATTCCTGAGAGTGCTATTCGCCACCAAAATTCCTCACCGTCTGACAAGGGCAAGGTCACCATCTGTGATGGCAAATCCAGTGATGAAGACAGACCTAAGAAGAGCAGCGTGTGCAAGAGCATTGAAGGCTGTCAAGAAGAGCTGCTAGCACAAGTGGTTAGAGAGAACATATTAATTTATTTTTATCTGTCATCTCCTAAAACCGTTAAGAGTTCTTTTTTATGTGAAAAGATGTTGTGAGACTTGTGTTTTTGCCCCTCTTTTATCATGCTAGATGGGGTCATCTACTGCTGCAGTCATACTGGAAATGCTCATGTTTCTCATGGAAGCTATCCAGACCAACTTCCAGCAAGCATCAGCAGTGGGAAGCAGCAGCCGGGCACAGCAAGCCCTCAATGAACTGCATACTCAGGACAAAATTGTGGAGATGACGGACCAGTTAATGGTATCATGACCCAAATAGATTGCCTGTTCCAGTAAAACACTTAATTCATTGATAGGTTATTAAAACTTAATTAAAATAGAATTCTATTATTTAGCTGCTGCATTTCATTGTTAACGGCTACTTTTTCCCTTCAGGTCCCCACACTTGGCTCCCAGGAAGGAGCTTTTGAGAATGTGCGAATGAACTACAGCGGTGACCAGGGGCAAACTATACGCCAGCTCATCAGTGCACATGTCCTGCGCCGTGTTGCCATGTGTGTTCTGTCTTCGCCCCATGGACGGCGTCAGCACCTGGCAGTCAGCCATGAAAAGGGGAAGGTAAACTAAACAATTTAAGTTCCTTTGTCCAATTAGAAGGGCTTTCATTGAATTCTTATTTAAAATATATGCATTGTTATTGATTCAGACTTGCCTGTGAAACGGAGCATCATGACAAGGAAAAAAATCTACACTCAAATGAATAATAGAATAAAAAACATTCCTCTTTCTATGTTATTATGTTTTTGTGTTTTTTCTCTTTGACTTTTTTCTTTAAGTTTTCTTTAAGTTGTTTTGTATGTTATCAAGATACTTTGCAAACTATGAAATAAGAACAGATAGGGAAATCTGTGTTTTCACAGTTAAAATGTCTCAACCTGACTTTTTCTCCATTTCCTATCTGGCAGATAACAGTCCTTCAGCTGTCTACTCTCCTGAAACAAGCTGACTCAAGCAAAAGGAAGTTGACACTGACCCGTTTGGCTTCAGCCCCAGTCCCATTCACTGTCCTTAGTCTTACAGGAAACCCCTGTAATGAAGACTACCTGGCTGTGTGTGGCCTTAAGGTCAGAAACAAGCTGCTTCTTGTAAAACAACTTGTAGAGTCAAAAGAACAGTTAAATTTAACGAATTCCTACAGCAACTATCTTGTTTTTTTCCTTTCATCTCTTCCCAGGACTGCCATGTACTAACTTTCAGCAGCACAGGTTCTGTGTCTGACCACCTGGTGTTGCATCCACAACTGGCCACTGGCAACTTTATCATCAAAGCTATCTGGTTACCAGGCTCACAGACTGAACTTGCCATCATCACTGCTGACTTTGTCAAGGTATATATTAAAATAATAAACATATTTTGCACTTAAAGCAACATAATTGATTTTGTTTCTGCAATTTCTTTATGAAAACAACCATAGATACTATACATATACCTTTCTGCCCTAGGAAAACAAAAGATTGCTTAATACTGCCTTTTAATGCTTGTTCCCTTTGGAAAACAGATCTATGACTTGTCAGTGGATGCCCTGAGTCCAATGTACTATTTCCTGCTCCCAAGTTCCAAGATTCGTGATGCTACATTCCTTTTCAATGAAGAGGGGAAGAACATTATTGTCATCATGTCATCAGCAGGTTACATGTACACCCAGGTCATGGATGAATCTAGCAGTGCTCAGCATGGCCCTTTTTATGTTACAAATGTATTGGAGATAACCCACGAAGACTTGAAGGTAACTAGGATTTGACATGAGTTAATGTTGTGACAAGGTTGCTGTCTTAATGGTCTCCAACAGGGGTGTCAAATGTACGACCTTCGGGCCACATTCGGCCCACAATACAATTATATCTGGCCTGCAAGGTATTTTCATACATCAGTTATTAATGGCTCGTCAGCATGGGGGAGCTAAATCTTCAGCCCTGCTGAGAATCCATGCAAGCATGGGTGGGACTTTATTTTGATGGGCACACCATGCTGCTAATCACATGCAAAGACAGACTGCGATCAGACCATTATGTGAAAAAAGGAAAAGGGGGCAGAAGTTCCAAAAGCAGCAAGTTTAGTGGTGTGCCAAATCATGCCAGAGTACAAAAAATGCTTAGCTATGTCTCTAATAAAACCTCTGTAACTTTGTGAAAAATAGAAATGTTTCTGTTTTTCACTTTCTGCTATAGAATTATCAGGGGTGGGGGCTACAGGCTAATTTTGTAACTTCTTTACACTGACCAATTTCGTTGTACTCTGTACAATGACAATAAAGGCTATTCTATTCTATTCTAAAAAGGGGAGTTTCACTGGTCCGGCCTGCTTAAAGTCAAAGTGGGCTGCATGTGGCCCACGATGTAAAATGAGTTTGACACCCCTGGTCTACAGTATTTCTGTCATACTTTCCAGCTCTCATTTCTTTTGGGGGAATGTTTGGTTGATGTGTACATCATACCTTTATTCAGTGTTCAGGTGTTTTTGAAACTACATTAAAGAAAGCAGTTTTGAGGTAAATTCTTTCTTTGTAAACACAGGATAGCAATGGACAGGTAGCTGGCGGTGGTGTTTCTGTCTATTACTCCCATGTCCTTCAGATGCTTTTCTTCAGCTACAGCCAGGGGAAGTCATTCGCTGCCACAGTGAGCCGCAGCACAACTGATGTGCAGAGGCTCTTTGCCATCAATGTGAAAGGGTAACACAATAAAATAGTCTGTAAAAGCCTATCAAATATAATCGTAACTGGAAAAGAAAATTATGAACAGAAATATTTTTTTTCCCATTTTGTCTTTAAAGCTCCAATGGTGGCAGCAGTAAGATGTCTCCTGCACTGTGCCAGTGGTCTGAGGTCATGAACCATCCAGGCCTTGTGTGCTGTGTGCAACAGACAACAGGCATACCTCTGGTTATCATGGTCAAACCTGACACCTTCCTCATCCAAGAGATTAAAACCCTGCCAGCCAAAGCTAAGGTAAATACCATTTACTATTGTGACATGAAACCGGTTAGGATACCATGAAAACAGTAATTGGAGAAAAAAAGGAAATTCCATTTTGGAGTACAGAACTCTATAAACACAAAGTTTTTCCGGTTGTCTTGTTTACTAAGCAAAGTTATTTCCCATGAGTTTACCTAATTTTACTGTTTTCTAAGGTTAACATTTATTTGTCGGTTTCTGTCAGATTCAAGATATGGTAGCTATCCGACACACTGCCAGTAATGAGCAGCAGCGCACTACCATGATTCTTCTATGTGAGGATGGCAGCTTGCGAATCTACATGGCAAATGTGGACAACACCTCCTACTGGCTCCAGCCCTCATTGCAGCCCAGCTGTGGCATAAGCATCATGAAGCCAGTCCGCAAGCGCAAGGCCGCTGCTGCCAGTAAGTTTGTGGACAAGGGTTATTTTGTAAATGCCAGTTATGTATGATGAATGAACAGCTTGTACTAACCTGTTTATTGCTTACTTAATATTTGCTGATATGTTACTGATGACACAGATTTGTAACCTTTTCCATAAATGCCCGCATGTTTTCTGATTTAAGTTTGCTTATTTTAAATTTTTCTTAAAATTCAAAGTGTAATTCATTCACATTTTCAGATCATGTTTCTTGTGTTCATTCTCCATGTAGCCAGACATACACAATAATAAAAGCAACTAATCTAAAATTTTGGGGAGCTAATTTGAATGTAATGATTTTACTTTAAGCCACCCGGACTTCCAGTCAGGTGACATTCCCAGTGGATTTCTTTGAACACAACCAGCAACTGACAGAGGTGGAGTTTGGGGGTAATGACTTGCTGCAGGTCTACAACGGACAGCAGATCAAACACAGGCTCAACTCCACAGGGATGTATGTGGCCAACACAAAGGTAGAGGCATTGTACCTTAATGTTCTGTGTTAGAAAAGGTGTAAAAACATTGCTCTGCTTCTCTCTTGTAATGCAGGTTATTGCTGCATCAGCAGTGCTTGAGTTGATAACCATGGTGCAGCAGAGGGATCTTTGTTAATTAAATTTTATGTAAATGTAGTTTAATGTTATCTGCCATCACTTGTGTTGAGACTTTGCTGTCTTTGCCATCTACATTTGTGCAGTTTACTATACCAGAGTACATTAGTATACGTCCAGTCTAAATCCAAGTGACCCTGCTTTAAATAAAAACAGTGAAGACACCTATTCTAAACATGTTTTTCAGCTGTAGTCAAGAAAAAAAAGATGTAAAATAACAAATGTCATGTTTCTTTTTGCTTTCCTTTCTCTTTTCCTTCATCCTAGCCTGGAGGGTTCACTGTAGAGGCAGTAAACAACAACAGCTCAATGGTGATGACAGGCATGCGGGTTCAGGTGGGCACCCAAGCCATTGAAAGGGCTCCTTCTTATGTGGAGGTCTTTGGACGCACCATGCAGATAAATCTGACAAGAGCTCGCTGGTTTGACTTCCCCTTCACGAGAGAGGAGGCCCTGCAGGCTGACAAGAAGCTGTCTATATTTAGTAAGATCAAGACTGTGCAGTGGTTATACGTTTTTTTTTTTACTACTTAATGGTTTTTCTTGTTGCCTGTATTGATATTCCAATACACGTGTTTAAATAATTTGCGCTGACCTGTTCATATTATTTGGTCATATGGTCATATGCTTCAGTCTGTTTAGATAGATCTTCTAATACACTGTCTTGCTAATTTTTAAGTTGGAGCATCTGTTGACCCAGCTGGAGTCACCATGCTTGATTCAATTAAGATCTATGGAAAAACCAAGGAGCAGTTTGGCTGGCCTGAGGATCCACCAGAAGACTTCTCATCTGCCTCAGTTAACAATGTCTGCAGTCCCAGCCTCAACCAGGGCAATGGGACCTCTGATGGAGACATAGCCACCCCAACAACAACTAGTGGCACTGTATTGGAGAGGTATGAGCTTTTCAATTTGGGCTGCGAAAAGGTCAACCCAAGTTGTTGGCATTCATTTTTTATCCCCAGGGTTGAATAAACCACTCCTAATGAACTGATGAGCAAGTTTGACCATCATCTATTAAGTACCTTTTAGAGATGGCACGATACCACTTTTTTTATGTCCGATACCGATATCATAAATTTGGATATCTGCCGATACCAATATGAATCCGATATAGTGTTTTTTAATCAACAAAACTGTTTTTTTAAATATCTTGCTGCATTTTGTATAAGTTCATACTCAAGTTTAAAACAACAACTACACTAAAGCTATTCTGTTATACCTGTATGCAAAAAAAAATATTTCATAGTTCAGCAATACTGATCAATCTAATAAACTCAAACCTACACCATCCTCCCTATTCTGGTATTTTAAAGAGTGCTTAGCGTAAATATTAAGCAACCTTACTAATAGGGTTCCAACTCCCAGCAACAAAAATAAATAAATAAAAAATAGGGAACCACCCTCCACCTCATGATGCTTAATCGACGTAATCAACCTTAATTTGATGCAGTGTGAAAAAAAATGCACAGATATCAATTATTTTTCAAGAAATATTAAATAGATTCAACATCTTTCTTCAACAAAATTGCAGACTGCACAGATGGTACCTTCCCAAAGGAAAAAGTACTATAGCTTACTAGGGTATATATATTAGACTTAATAGTTACTATATACAGTAATTGACTTCTATTCATTTTACACCAAATTAAAACTTTGGGTGTCAGATAATTATTTATTAAAAGCTAGACATTTTAAATGAGAATAAGAAAGAAAAGTATGTCTTTGTGCCCCCTTTTCCCTGTTAATGCCCTATCGGCCCCCCTGGCTAAACTTTGCTAGATCCGCCCCTGCACAGTTACCAGCCGTCAGCTACGTAGAAAAAGATCCTCGAGTAGAAAGTAATATTAAATAAATTCTAACAACAGCTTATCAAGCTTAAACGTGCTGCTGTTGTTCAGCCGCTGGTTTCCTCTTTCTGGTGCAAAGTGGGCCAAAAACAAACAAGAGAGACGTACTCGCGACAGAAAAGCCAACCAGCTGATCATTAAGCAGTTTCATGATTGAAGTAGCAGCAAGAAGAGGCAGTCGCTTGTTAAGCTTAATGCAGGAATGCTTTACATTCAGAGATGGACTTACACACTTGCTTTACTTCTCTCGGGGATAACTTTGTCGGAGATGAAATGCCAGGTTGCTAGCGAAGCTCCACATGCTATCCAGACCACCGACAGGTCCCGCATGTCACAGCCGCTCTATCACGTGATGCATACTGCTCCGACGTGCTAACGTTCTGAGGCGAGTTACGGCGTGTTGCAAGTTTTGTGAGATGCTTTCGTGATATTTAATGGATCGGATTACATTTTTTATTTTTCTCCGATATCCGATTCAGTAATTTAGGTCGGTATCGGACTGATACCGATATGTAATATCGGATCGGTCCATCTCTAGTACCTTTATATAAAACCTCTCGGTAGATTTGTTGGGTTCAGTGTTTCATCATAACTGTTTTTTGGTCCATTCATTTGACAACGAAATGTTTTCTAAAACATTGTTTTATCTACAGTTCCTCAGTTTTGTGTGAAGATGTATATTTTGTGAAAAGCGCAATACATATATTACCATAGATGTGATGTTTTTTAAAAATTATTTTAACTCGTACTACATTTTATAAGCATGTATTGAATACAGCTGTGTAGTATGGGTTGTTGGACACAATCCTGAAATTTGAGCAGTAGCAGTGAGCTCTCTTTAGTGTGTTTTAGTGCATGGCTCTTGTGATCATCTTTTCTTGCATGTGTCTTTTGTTCAACTGAATCATTTATTTCCACTTGTTTCTTTCCGTGATCCTCACACTTATTTTTGTTCTTTTTCTTTTGCTCCCAAAATTACAATAAAAAGTTGTGAAACTGAGTCCTTATCAACATTGGACCGGTTAGTAACTGCCTTTTCTCTGCTTGTTTGTATGGTTTTGTGCATGTGTGCCAGCTTGTTTGTCTTTGCCTGCAACCAAACATGCCATGCACCATTTCCACACCTGTGCAGCAACAGAAACATTTTTCCCCTGACATTTATTCTTGCACTCAATTTTGTTTGGCGTTTAGAGTAGCAGCAGAATAATAGTGCTTTTTCCCCCTGTATGATTGGTTATTTAAAGAATAATTCACAGGAGATGCAGAATTGATGTTCTTTCTCTATTTCAGGTTGGTGGTCAGCTCCCTTGAAGCTTTGGAAAGCTGTTTTGCAGTTGGTTCATCCAGTGAAAAGGTAAACCTGTGAAGACTTTATTTTTTTATTGACTTTTAAAAGCATAATTCTGTATAAATGAATCCCTGTTATCTACATGCTTGTGTTCAGGATGCATTTTTAATTCATGTCAACTCTATAGGAGAAAAACAAGGCTGCAGCACTGGAGTTGGCAACTTTACTTCTGTCGATGCCAACACCTGTAGGTGTGCAGCAGCAGACAAAGGGGCTTCTTGCCAGTCTGCACACAAGCCGTACTGCCTACCACAATCACAAGGTAATAAAAGAGGCCAAATTCATACAATGTTTAGCTCATTATAATCTGAAAAATGTTGTATTGATTTTCATTAACAGCCAAACACCTTAATACTCTCGCGAACCACTATCCCTCCCTCTGTTCTCCTCAGGACCAGTCCTTGCTGAGCAATGCTGTGCAGTGTCTGAATAGTTGCAGCCGGGAAGGGAAAGAGCTAGACCCTGATGTCTTCCAAAGACTTGTAATCACTGCCCGCTCCATTGCGATCATGAGACCCAACAACTTGGTGCATTTCACAGAAACAAAATCATTGCACCATGACTCGGGTAAGAAGCTTTTCTTGTTATGAAGAATGTTGGCATAGAATAGAATGTTTTATATGTATTCTTGTGTGAGCATATAACAAATAAACTTGATTTTTGTCATTTGGAGTCAAAGTCAGAAAAAGATACTTTTTACTTACAATGAAACAGCTTGGAAGTTAACTGACTTATAATTCTCACACTTACTGGTGTTCTTCTCTTACTAACTCAGAGGTGACAGAGGATGGGCAAAAGCATGTGGATAGTGAGAACTGTAATTTTATTGCACAACTGATGAATAACTTCTGGAAGCTTCATGCCCTAAAACCAAAGAATGCCTTTCTTGCTCCTGCTTGCTTGCCTGGTAAGTTCCACCCTGTGGGTCCCCAACATTTTGCAAGAACATTTATTGTTAAATGTATATGCATTTATACATATGTGTTGTGAGTAATGTTGATTCACTTAAATCTTATGTAAACAATTTACACGTATTGTAATGCCCAACAGCACGAGTACATTTGTCTTCTATTCTGAAACCCTAGTCTGGAAATGAGTTATTTATTTTAAATTTAAGGTCTAACTCATGTGGAAGCAACAGTAAATGCCTTGGTAGACATCATCCATGCATACTGCACATGTGAGCTGGATTACATCAATGTAGCCTCCAAAATCTACATGCAGATGTTACTGTGTCCTGTAAGTATATCAGTTTTATTGATCAGTCATTTTTATTTATCTTCTTCTCCTTGAACAGCATTTTAACTACTGTAGTTTGTACCTTGTCAGTAGATTTTTTTTTACATGGCTTTACAAGGGTGATAATAAGCAGCATGCCTATATTAAAGATTTTAGGCAATTAGAAGGAGCTCTTGCATGGATCATTGTCAAAGTCATGAGGTAACCAGTCTATATTTAACAATTCACAGGACACTGCTGTCAGCTTTTCTTGCAAGCAGGCTCTGATCAGAGTGCTTAGACCAAGAAACAAGCGACGCCATGTGACCCTTCCATCTCCCCCACGTTCCAACACACCTATGGGTATGTTTATTAATTAATTCAAAGTATTAATTGAATGTTACTAGATGTACATGAATATTTGATAGTTTTTTGGGGGCAATATTAAATATGATTTCTCATATTAGTTATCATTTTAACAAGGCTTTAGGGATCCTCTAAATGTTTGCGGTTGATCTCCTTTATCAGGAGACAAGGATGATGATGACGACGACGATGCAGATGACAAAATGCAGTCATCAGTGTTGACTGGTGGAGAAGAGGGTCGACAGGAGAGCCAAGAACAAAATGAAGTGGACCATGGCGACTTTGAGATGGTGGTGAGACAAAGAGCAGCAGTCTGTAGGCCAGGGGTGTCCAACTCCAGGCCTCGAGGGACAGTGTCCTAAAGGTTTTAGATGTGTCCTTGATCCAATACAGCTGTTTTAAATGGCTAAATTACCTCCTCAACATGTCTTGAAGTTCTCTAGAGACCTGGTAATGAACTAATCATGATTCAAGTGTGTTGACCCAGAGTGAGATCTAAAACTTGCAGAAGCCTGGAGTTGGACACCCCTGCTGTAGGCTGTTTCTGACATTGGACTAGCATTTTTTTAGACTGTTTAGAGACACTCATCGCAAAAGTATAAATGATCTTCCTGTTCCTGAATTATTCTGGATGCAGAGTATAATGTTGTAACATCACAAAGATGTATTTAAAGTAACTAACTAGCTCTGACGATGTCAAAAAGTTTGTAATTCACTTCTGTTCATTTATATTATGACTAAATTGTTTTTCTGAGCTCACACTACATAGACAATAAATATACACTGGAGTAACATTTTTAAAAGCCACTTATATTCCTTTCTTTGGCTTGTATGACCATCTTCAAATTTAAATCTTAGTTATCTATAAATTACATATGCATGTTAAAATTTGGTAAAACATGCCTGTTTTTGTGCTTCAGTCAGAGTCTATGGTCCTGGAGACAGCAGAAAATGTCAACAATGGAAATCCATCTCCCCTCGAGGCTCTGCTTGCTGGAGCTGAAGGTTTCCCCCCCATGCTTGACATACCTCCTGATGCAGATGATGAAACCATGGTAGAGTTGGCAATTGCTCTAAGCCTGCAGCAGGATCAACAGGGTAAGTGACCAGAAAATCCTAAATAAAGTAATAATTTTGTGACTAGTGTGACTGTGACTTATTACTAGTCCTACTCAGCATTAGTCTTTCCTGTCTATGCTGAAACTATTCTAAATTTCTTTAAACCTTGAAATTCATAGAGCCTTACAATTTTTCTTTTACATAATTGTTTCGAAGCTTTTTTGTTGTGTGTGTGTGTGTGTGTATGTGTGTGTGTCTATATCAGTTGCTACCCTTCAGAGTGATTTAAACCCTCATAAGTTATTCAACAAAATACAATTTTTTTTTCTCCCCCCCCCCCAGATTACGTTATTTGAATTGTTCTGATCTGCAAAACTTAATGTTTCGCCCTGACACATTTTAATGGAAGTTTGGGCACTCCTAGAAGTCCATCCTTAAACACAATTTTTGACATTTTTAGGCAGTAGCAGCAGTGCTCTTGGGCTTCAGAGTCTAGGCCTGTCTGGCCAGGCCCCAAGCTCCTCTTCACTTGATGCTGGCACCCTGTCAGACACCACTGCATCAGGTAATAAGACCATCTTCACGCTCAACCGGAAGCTAGTTTTTAATGCTTGCAAAGTCACTGTTGCAAGTCAGTTAAACAAACCTTTTTTTTAAAGTTCCAAAAATAAAATAACTTTTTATTTTTAAATTAAATAAAAGGAAATTATTATCATTAAATAATTTTATTCTAACTTGAAGCTCATCAGTGATACAGCATGTAGTTGTACTGCTCATATCTGTAAGCTGGCCAATGTCAAATTAACCCCTATAATTTAATGCCACACTGGTCACAATGGGTTCGGTAGCACTTATTTTTGATTGTACTGCATGCTCTTTGCATTGTTGGTGCACAAGTATAAACTAAGATCATGTATCCTGGCCAGATGACCGCGGTGTATTTACTGTTACAGCTATTGCTATGATTTCAGCCCCGGCATCAGATGATGAGGGCAGCACAGCTGCTACTGATGGTTCCACATTGCGGACCTCCCCAGCTGAGCACGGCGGCAGCGTGGGCTCAGAGAGTGGAGGTTCTGCTATCGACTCTGTAGCAGGGGAGCACAGTGGTGGGTGATTTAAGTAAAACAGGCCAGTTTAATATTAAAAACATTATATATGCATGCCCCGAATTAGTGGTAGTATCTCAAATTTGTAGGAACTTCTATATCCAATTCTTTTCAGCCCCGTAGTAAGTATTAGACTTTAAACTTCTTTAGACATTAATTTTCTCTAATTCCCAATAACCTTCTGAGAAAGGTAGCTCTAAGTTTACAGATTATAATATAGTGTGTCACCTTTCCTATCCTTCCCTTTTCCCATGCCTCATTTTGTTGCGCTTTAAAGTCCTGAGGGGCAAACGTGACTCTTCAGTTTAAAATAAAACCTAATCCTTCCCTGTGTTACATTACCAGATTTCCATATTGCTTAGTTGCTTTCATTCATGCATTTGTATAGTGTCAGGTCGCAGCAGTGCATATGGAGACACAACAGCGGAAGGCCACCCCGCTGGTCCAGGCAGCGTGAGTTCCAGCACTGGAGCCATTAGTACCACCACAGCCCAGCAGGAATGTGAAGGCTCAGAAGGTGAAGGAGAGACTGAAGGAGACATTCATACAAGCAACAGGTCAGATTCATGAATTTGGATTATTTTAGGTTAACTTAAGGCTCCATGATAATGAACATCTGCCATGTGATGTGCTGAAGACTCATTTATACTATCTATGGATACCAACATGACCATAAGAAAGACAGATAATAATATTTACTTTTTATTACATTGTCATGAAAAGTGATTTATGCTTAATAGTTTAACCAGTAAAAAAAATGTCATTATGTTTTTCATTAGGTTGCACATGGTTCGTCTTATGCTACTGGAGCGTTTGCTTCAGCACCTTTCTCAGCTCCACAATGTAGGTGGAGTCCAAGCTATCCCTTACATGCAAGTTATCCTCATGTTGACCTCTGACCTTGACGGTGAGGATGAAAAGGATAAAGGTGCTTTGGATGACCTGCTTGCACAGCTCATTGCCGAGCTTGGCATGCACAAGAAGGTAACTACTGTTTTGTCCTTTCCTCATTTTGTATCAGGCTCAGAATATTTTTGTTTTACTGAATCGTGTTATATCTCTGCAGGATGTTTCCAAGAAGAATGAGCGTAGTTCCATAAATGAAGTTCATTTGGTCATCATGAGGCTGCTTAGTGTCTTCATGTCTCGAACAAAGTCTGGATCCAAATCTTCCTCTGAGGTACAGTTGTACTATAATCACTATGTAGTGTGTAGCCAGGTTTGCACCTCTCTCAACAACTGCTCAAAATTGATTGCAGTCATTCATCACATCTCATTTTTGCTCAAGTTTCATATTATTATTAACATAACTTGTGCCATGAAGCTCACAGTTTCATGGCTATCATGCAACTTGATTATACTTTGTACATCATGAATTTTGAAGTCAGCTGTTTTCCCTCTTTTTGTCTTCTAGTCATCCTCCCTCATTTCCAATGCCACAGCAACCGCCTTGCTCAGCCTGGGTTCTATTGACTACTGCCTCCAAGTGCTCAAGTCACTCCTGGAGTTTTGGAAGAGCCAACAGGGTGAAGAAGAGCCAGTGACTGCCAGCCAGCTCCTCCGCACACACACAGCTTCCTCTCCCCCTGACATGAGTCCTTTCTTCCTTCGCCAATATGTTAAGGTAAGATAATCTCAACATAAAAAATGTAAAAGACTATTTATATCTCTCAAATTTTAACATTAACTCAATATATTGTTTTTGCAATCAGGGGCATGCTGCTGATGTGTTTGAAGCCTACTCCCAGTTGTTGACTGAAATGGTGCTTCGGCTGCCATATCAGATAAAGAAAATTGCTGACGCCAACCCACGTATCCCACCTCCTGTATTTGATCATTCCTGGTTCTACTATCTATCTGAAGTAAGCCATCATAT